GGTTGATGGGGTTCTGGGAGTTGTTTTACTTCCCAAGCCCGGCCCGAGGCCAGGCTTGACTTGTGAGAGTTTGGTCCACCAGGCTGTTACTTGGAGCGGCCCGCAGGCCCCCATACCCACCACAGCCCGGTTGGTCCGGCACTCCTTGGAGGAAACTATCTAGTTTTCTCTTGAAGATGTCCACGGCTGTTGCGGCACCCAGTCACCAGGACCTTGTGTAGACATCTTGTGAAGAGTGATAAGTCTGCCTCAGCATGCCTTCCTGCGGTACACCCACTCACCAGAGAGAGATCTCTCACAGCCACCACCGTCCAGCGACCACCGTCCAGCGACCACCGTCCAGCGACCACCGTCCAGCGACTACCGTCCAGCGACCACCGTCCAGCGACCACCGTCCAGCGACTACCGTCCAGCGACCACCAACCACCGCCCACCAACCAGCGACCAGCACGCTTACTACCATGTACGGGTGATGAAGAGTGGCGTTGTGGTAAGGACTCCCGCCTCCCTACACTTAAACCAACACCACTACACCACAGGCATCTACAATCAGCATTCACTCGTGCACGCAACACCTCCCTAACAAGGCTGCAACTTAGCAACAAATCAAGACACACGACTTGATAATAGTCCAGGACGGAGCGAAAGATCGTCGTCTCTCCATCTTCTGGCGTGTCGCTGGGTCATCTTAGAAACAAAGTTTACTCCTAATGGAAGCTAGTAATGAGCTCTTCACGTGAGTTGATGGGGTGTGAGGCTTAAGATGAGTTGAGGGAGGGTGACAGCTGGCTTCCTGCCACGTTAGTATCTGTGAACCAAGTCTTAGTTACCAAGATGTTAACCTCATATTTGCTCATTCATCCTTCTCCCTCTCTCCCTCCCACTCCCTCTCTCTCATCCTCTTTTCTCTGTCTAGTCTCTCTCTTATCTCACTCTTTTCTCTCTTTTCTCTCTCTTTTCTCTTTCTCTCTTTCCTCTTTCTCTTTTCTCTCTCTCTTATCTCTCTGGCTTTCTCTCTTTTCTGTGTACCATGTCAATATTCTGGTTGTGACGTCACCCACCACTGGTGGGTGACAAGACGACAACACAGTGCAGGGGCTGGTGCGGTGATAAGGCTTAGATATACTCTCAAGGAGATAGTTTGTTAAAGATAAGATTTTTGTGGGTAGGCCGGTCAGTAGAAAAATCCGGGTAGGCCTAGGTAGGAGGAGGAGGAGGAGGGGGGGGGTGTAAAGTGAGGAGTAAGATGAGAAAGAAAGATAAGATGAGGAGTAGAGAAAGTCTGAGAACTTCTCATGAATCACTTATTGTTAATGAGAAAATGCCAGAAATTCTGAAGGAAAATATGTGGTATGTGGTGCACACTTGGAGCCAGGTGTGTGTTCCTCTACATGTAAACAGTCACACACCTGCTGCCCTCCACATGTAAACAGCCACACACCTGCTATCCTCCACATGTACACAGCCACACCTGCTACCTTCCACATGTAAACAGCCACACACCTGCTGCCCTCCACATGTAAACACCCACACACCTGCTATCCTCCACATGTACACAGCCACACCTGCTACCTTCCACATGTAAACAGCCACACACCTGCTGCCCTCCACATGTAAACACCCACACACCTGCTATCCTCCACATGTACACAGCCACACCTGCTACCTTCCACATGTAAACAGCCACACACCTGCTGCCCTCCACATGTAAACACCCACACACCTGCTATCCTCCACCAGCACCAGTGATGCAGTACTGTGTAAAATCTTACCAACATAACCCAGCTCCAATGGTCACAGTTACATTGCTAGAGCAGTTGCAAAACAGTGGTTTGGTGACTAGACATGTTATCAAAATCAAATATATGTTACATATACAAGTTTGCAACAAGGTCAGAACCATCTACTGGAGACTGTAAGATCACTACAGGCCTCAGGGAGTCTTGTGCCCAGTCGCTCTCCTTACAATCCAAAACAATCTGGTATATCCACAATGCAGCAAGTTGAGGTTTTTATAATTGTTAGCCAAAAGATACCTCGATTTCTTGTCTAGGAAAATAATAATGTGTAATATTTTTGTTAGTCAATGTATCACTCACTCACACACACACACACACACACACACACACACACACACACACACACACACACACACACACACACACACACAGAGAGGCCAAGACTGTCAGTAGTTTCAAAGCGTTATATGACAAAGAGTACTGGGAAGACGGGACACCACGAGCGTAGCTCTCATCCTGTAACTACACTTAGGTAATTACACACACATACGGCCCAGGAACTTGAGTTCAACCCAGGCATACACACAAGGGTGGGAAGACGGTAGATGTAAACAAAGGGAAGAGATGGTTAGGCAGACAATTGGACAGAAGAGAGAGGCAGACAGCAGACAGGCGGGGCGCTGATGCAGGGAGCTGTGAGTGTGCCGTCAGGAGATAAGATCCGTCCCGTCAGTCAGCACAGCATCAGATGCTGCGGCCACGCCCCCCGCAGCCTCCCGCAGCACGGGGCGACCCGTCCTCCTAACACACCCTCGCATTGTTGAAGTATACTCTAAGGACAATAATCCTCGTACTGGAAAATGGCAGGAGAGCCCGCCTGCGGCAGGAGGCCGCTACACCCAGGAATAGCGACAAGCGCCAAGCGGCTCCTGCTTCGTCCACCGTCATAAGTTTATATCCTTACTTACATTATCTATTTATATAAAGCAGAAAATCGCCCTCACTCCTCACAATGCTGAGCCCAGGAACACCATTACCACAGCCCATGAGAAGCAGCCAAGCTCAGCAAGCACTGCAGGCCTGCAACACCTACGACACCCGTACGACATCTACCCAAATTAACCTCATACGTCAACGTTAAGACCTGATTCATTAACCCACCAGCAACGATTATCACCGTCTGCGTAAATGAGTTCCATCATTCAGGCGCCGCGGGGCCTCGAATTGGCAGACCGGAGATTTTGTTTTTAATTAAAACGGCAGAAAACCCATTCTCACCCACTCTGTGGGCGCGTCTGTGGGCGTGTGGGCGACGCTTATAGTATTGATCGGGGGAGTATTGATCGGGGGAGTATTGATCGGGGAGTATTGATCGGGGAGTATTGATCGGGGGAGTATTGATCGGGGGAGTATTGATCGGGGAGTATTGATCGGGGAGTATTGATCGGGGGAGTATTGATCGGGGGAGTATTGATCGGGGGAGTATTGATCGGGGAGTATTGATCGGGGGAGTATTGATCGGGGGAGTATTGATCGGGGGAGTATTGATCGGGGGAGTATTGATCGGGGGAGTATTGATCGGGGGAGTATTGATCGGGGAGTATTGATCGGGGGAACATTGATCGGGGGAACATTGATCGGGGGAACATTGATCGGGGGAGTATTGATCGGGGGAGTATTGATCGGGAAGTATTGATCGGGAAGTACTGATCGGGGGAGTATTGATCGGGGAAGTATTGATCGGGGAAGTATTGCTCGGGGAAGTATTGATCGGGGAAGTACTGATCGGGGAAGTACTGATCGGGGAGTATTAATCGGGGGAGTATTAATCGGGGGAGTATAGATCGGGGGAGTATTGATCGGGGGAGTATTGATCGGGGGAGTATTGATCGGGGGAGTATTAATCGGGGGAGTATTGATCGGGGGAGTATTGATTGGGGGAGTATTGATCGGGGGAGTATTGATCGGGGGAGTATTAATCGGGGGAGTATTGGTCGGGGGAGTATTAATCGGGGGAGTATTAATCGGGGGAGTATTAATCGGGGGAGTATTAATCGGGGGAGTATTAATCGGGGGAGTATTAATCGGGGAGTATTAATCGGGGGAGTATTAATCGGGGGAGTATTAATCGGGGGAGTACTGATCGAGAAGTGATGATCAAAAAGTATTGTGCAACAGTAGGATTGGTCTTCAGAGATACAATAATATAATGTCTAAGGCGCACCTTCTGAGCAGTATCACCAAAGAGCACCAGACCTGGTAGATACAGTGTACGGTGAGCTGTGTACGGTGCCCGACCGTGAAGGTCAAGTCAGCAGCAACAGAGAGGGGGGGGGGGGAAAGTAAGCAACAGTTAAAGCACCTGAATATAACCAGTCTGCTATATTAGTCTGGACAAAACCCGCTTTGGCAGCCCCAGCAAGTTGTCCTGGACGTAATTATATTGTGAGTCCTCCCCCCCAACCCTCCACAATCCTCACTATACCCACTGTTGTTATGCATTCTCATTCACTCTTTTTTTGTGTGTGTTTTCTCTTATTCATACTTCTCATTCTAGACTACTGTCTTCACCTCTCTCACCAGTATCGTGTCGCCCCCTCTCTGCTGCCCACTGCTAGTAAAGGGGTGTACCCCTACCCTCTGCTAGTAGAGGGGTGTGTGTACCTCTACCCACTGCTAGTAGAGGGGTGTGTGTACCTCTGTATGAGCCCCGAGGCACTAAGAGTTTGTTTACAACAACCACCTTGGCGTAAAATGTTCCCGACATTGTAAACTTTTGAAAAGTGTAAACAAGTTTTGCCCTCAGGAAAGACGTAGAAGTTTCGTAAGTAGACAAGTCAATATTTGAGGAGTGCTGGCCTGGCGCAGTGTAGAGCGGGACGTGTTTAACGTGGGTACTAGTATACAGTGGGTACTCTTTATAAGGTAGTTACGTCAGCAGGAGCTAGTTGAAGGGCGTCAGCCACGCCGGTGGCACCCTGGCGCCGGTGGCACCCTGGCGCCTGTAGCACCCTGGCGCCTGTAGCACCCTGGAGCTTGTAGCACCCTGGAGCCGGTGGCACCCTGGAGCCGGTGGCACCCTGGCGCCGATGGCACCATGGCGCCTGTGGCACCCTGGCGCCGGTGGCACCCTGGCGCCGGTGGCACCCTGGCGCCAGAGGCACCCTGGCGCCGGTGGCTCCCTGGTGCCGATGGCACCCTGGTGCCGGTGGCTCCCTGGCGCCGGAGGCACCCTGGCGCCGGTGGCTCCCTGTCACTCACCTTCTTGTTATTGTAGATGTCACGGGCGTGGTGCCAGTGGTAGGCGTCGAGGGAGTAGGAGAGCTCGAAGGACGTGACCCACTCCTCGTCGTCGCCTTTCCCCTGCGTCAGGAGCCCCGTCACCTGTAGGGGCACACGCACCAACCTTCAATTAGTCATTATAGGTGCCAGACCCACCTTGTGGGTGAGTGCCACTAAGCTTACTCTTACATAATGGGGTCACCCACCGGACCCTAATGGTCTTTAAGATCAAGGGGAGGTATTTAATGAGGAAAGCGACAAGCCATTACGACTATATAGCACTGGGAAGGGGTCAGGATAAGGATACAAAAACTACACAAAAAACAATATAGTGAGGCGAGATGGTGCACATACATGTGTGTGTGTTAAGGTTGAAGAGGATCCCTACCTTAGCGGGGACGCCCAGGTCGACCAGCACCCACTCTCCTGCGGCCTTCCTGCCGGCGCACCACGCCCTCCCGTTGGGCTGGTGGAGACGGGCGTACTTGACCTGGCAGCCGGGGTCCCACGACGACGGATACGACGACGAGGCCGAGATCTGCCAGTCCAGCACGTCGCCGGTCGTCATCCCCAGCGGCGAGGTGCACCCTGACGATGAGGCGAGACACTGGAGAGCTCAACAGGCGGCAGGTAGTGAGCATTCTCTCTAATATATAGTTACCTCGAATTGGTAAAGTGGGTGGGTGGGGGTGGGTGTGTGTGTGTGTGTGTGTGTGTGTGTGTGTGTGTGTGTGTGTGGGGGGGGGGGGTGTGTGTGTGTGTGTGTGTGTGTGTGTGTGTGTGTGTGTGTGTGTGTGTGTGTGTGTGTGTGTGTGTGTGTGTGTGTGTGTGTGTGTGTGTGTGTGTGTGTGTGTGTGTGTGTGTGTGTGTGTGTGTGTGTGTGTGTGTGTGTGTGTGTGGTGTGTGTGTGTGTGTGTGTGTGTGTGTGTGTGTGTGTGTGTGTGTGTGTGTGTGTGTGTGTGTGTGTGTGTGTGTGTGGGGTGTGTGTGTGTGTGTGTGTGGGGGGGGGGGTGTGTGTGTGTGTGTGTGTGTGTGTGTGTGTGTGTGTGTGTGTGTGTGTGTGTGTGTGTGTGTGTGTGTGTGTGTGTGTGTGTGTGTGGGGGGGGGGGGGGGGGGGGGGTGTGTGTGTGTGTGTGGTGTGTGTGTGGTGTGTGTGTGTGTGTGTTGTGTGTGTGTGTGTGTGTGTGTGTGTGTGTGTGTGTGTGTGAGGGGGTGTGGGGGGGGGTGTGGGTGTGTAAACGTGGAGTATCAAACAAATATTATAGGGTTAATAATTAACAGGAACATAAGCAGGGGTATTAGTGACCACAAAGAGTGTTAGAATATATTAATCAACAAATCACAAACTTATTATATTACCGTAGAGACACACACACACACACACACACACACACACACACACACACACACACACACACACACACACATACACACACACACACACACGTACGTACGTTCGCTGACGACACTAAGCTAATGCGACAAATCAGAACTGAGGACAGTACAAGATGACCGACACAATCTCCAGAGATGATCTGGCAAATGGCTATTAGACTTGTGACTTCCACAACACACACACACACGCGTCCAATATACCAGTAATCAAGTCTTCAGACATAATTACTCCCGTCTTTGATACAGATTTTTCATTTCGTTCTACAGCCGGAGTTTTGACTGTGGTATATTTGTGTGGTTCCCGTTTCTATATTTTCGTTTTCAAAAGCAGGAACAGATCTTCATTAATATTATTTTCTGTGGCACACTGAAATACCTGATTTACATCTGTTTGGAGGTTTGCCGTGTCCTCTATATTGTCTAGTCTCGTTAAACTGCTAGTGGCATCGCAGTTGATGATACGGTGCTGAAGTTTGTGTCATTGTCTCTGTCCGATATGAGGATGAGAGGCACAGGAGCAAGCACAGTGCCCTTGGCATCGAGTTTTCGCGCTGAGTGGCTCGAATTTTACTTTCTCGACTAGTATACAAAATGGGTTCTGTTCCTACTCTGCCAGAAAACTCATTTTGTACGCATTTTGTGCGCAGTAAGACCATTCTCACGTCTGTCGGAGGTTTCGCCAGATCTGCGTATAAATACTTTAGCGTTTTGATTGTCTTCCGTGGCTTGCAGGCGATGAGTCACAATAACGTGGCTAAAGTAAGTTGACCAGACCACACACTAGATGGTGAAGAGACGACGACGTTTCGGTCCGTCCTGGACCATTCTCAAGTCGATCAACTTGAGAACGGTCCAGGACGGACCGAAACGTCGTCGTCCCTTCACCTTCTAGTGTGTGGTCTGGTCAACCATATCAAGTCTTCAAATGATGTTCAGAGCCTGTAATCGTTAATTATAATTTTATTATTATTATTATTTTTGCAATTATGGTGAATATGGGATTCCATGAATCAGGACCTGATGCAGAGCGCGTGGACATATTGTCAATGACTACTTCAAGGTCCAGTGGGGGTTAGGGTGGCGTGAGAGATATCACCTCATATCAGTATCACATTCATGAAGAACTAGTTTGGGTTATGTAGGTCTTCAGTGTGTTCAGAGGTTCACTAAAAAGAGACATGTAATGTACCCTCAGTATGTCACTTCTTTGTTGTCATCTGTGAAAGTTTCATCTCCCTGACGTAGGGAGATGAAACCGATACTAGATGTAGTTTATGTTCTAGAATTTGCAACAGGAGAAAAAGCATTTTGGGTTTCTCTGTATTTCACTGTCGGCCTTTTGCTCTCTCTGCCTCTCCTGGGTCTGATATGATTCTGGTTGCTCTACGTCGATCGTTACTATTTCACTACAGAGGCTGCCTTGTCCTTCTTAGAACAGGCTGGCGCCTTCAAGTTGTTCTACGAATTGTTTTCTTCACACCACAGCTAACTACGGCCGTCTTCGCGTACCAGGGGCCAGATTCACGAAGCAGTTACGCAAGTACTTAAAAAGTGTACATCTTTCCTCAATCTTTGACGGCTTTGGTTACATTTATTAAACAGTTTACAAGCATGGAGACTTGCCAATCAACTGTTGTTATTGTTATAAACAGCCTCCTGGTGCTTCGGAGCACATTAACTGTTTAATAATTGTAAACAAAGCCGCCAAAGATTGAGAAAAGATGTGCAGGTTCGTAAGTGCTTGCGTAACTGCGTCGTGAATCTGGCCCCAGGTCACCAACAATAAGAGTCAACTCCATGAATACTACAATCCGACTTCATTCCATGACTGGTGTGACCACCCTGTAATCCACAACCAATTAGTGTTAGAGAGGCACTTGATTAGTTGTTGTTAAGGCCTACCACAATGGTTATTTTCACCGCATGTGGGGGGAGGAGGGGGGTGCTAAATGCTTATATTCCATGCTAGATTATCCAGTATTTGCCATTATTATTATTTCACCGCAGGGGACAAGCCGGCCAGTCACTGCTACACACACACACACACACACACTGACTTGTACCCTTACACCTGCCCCATACCCAGGGTATAAAAGTATTAGTCCTGTTGACTGTGTTAGCCCCAGCGTGGAGAGTCCTGTTAGTGGCGTCCTGTAGAGACTACTGTGTTAGCACCAGCGTGGAGAGTCCTGTTAGTGGCGTCCTGTAGAGACTACTGTGTTAGCACCAGCGTGGAGAGTCCTGTTAGTGGCGTCCTGTAGAGACTACTGTGTTAGCACCAGCGTGGAGAGTCCTGTTAGTGGCGTCCTGTAGAGACTACTGTGTTAGCCCCAGCGTGGAGAGTCCTGTTAGCGGCCTCCTGTAGAGACTACTGTGTTAGCCCCAGCGTGGAGAGTCCTGTTAGCGGCCTCCTGTAGAGACTACTGTGTTAGCCCCAGCGTGGAGAGTCCTGTTAGCGGCCTCCTGTAGAGACTACTGTGTTAGCCCCAGCGTGGAGAGTCCTGTTAGCGGCCTCCTGTAGAGACTACTGTGTTAGCCCCAGCGTGGAGAGTCCTGTTAGTGGGGTCCTGTAGAGACTACTGTGTTAGCACCAGCGTGGAGAGTCCTGTTAGTGGGCTCCTGTAGAGACTACTGTGTTAGCACCAGCGTGGAGAGTCCTGTTAGTGGGCTCCTGTAGAGGCTACTGTGTTAGCCCCAGCGTGGAGAGTCCTGTTAGTGGGCTCCTGTAGAGGCTACTGTGTTAGCACCAGCGTGGAGAGTCCTGTTAGCGGCCTCCTGTAGAGACTACTGTGTTAGCCCCAGCGTGGAGAGTCCTGTTAGCGGGCTCCTGTAGAGACTACTGTGTTAGCACCAGCGTGGAGAGTCCTGTTAGCGGGCTCCTGTAGAGGCTACTGTGTTAGCACCAGCGTGGAGAGTCCTGTTAGCGGGCTCCTGTAGAGGCTACTGTGTTAGCACCAGCGTGGAGAGTCCTGTTAGCGGGCTCCTGTAGAGGCAAGCGACGCTAACTATCTTACCTGAGGGACTAGAGGCCTCTGCTGGCGTGTCTGTGGAGCTGAGAGGGGGGAGGAAATCATCAGGGTCGTCCAGCAGGAGGGGGGAGTCGTCCAGCAGAAGGGGGGCGTCGTCCAGCAGAAGGGGGGAGTCGTCCAGCAGAAGGGGGGCGTCGTCCAGAACATCGCTGGTGTTATAACTATGCTCCTCCCTCCCCAGGAATCTGTCAGCAGACGCCGCCGCTTGGGCAGCAGGGGTGGTGAGCAGAGACTCACCTGGAGTTTCTGCAGCAGACGGGGTGGTGACGACCAGCAGAAGCAGGGACAGCAGAAGCAGGGGACCCCGCGCCCTCTGAACCCCCAGGCCCACCCCGCCTCCTTCCTGGGGCTGCCATCCGCCCAGCACCTGTGTAGAAACATGGGTACACATCACTACAATGACTCTAAGGCACAGCTGTACAAGTGCACACTTGGGGAAGGACTGAGCAAAACAAAGTCTTCACTTATAATTACATTTACACTCGAAATAAAATTTAGATATCCACTATTGGTACAGACAAAACCCTTACTTAAAACATCTACCAATGACAGTGTAACGCCATGGAGGGCTTGAGTATATATTTTAATAATAATAATTAAAAAAACTGAATAAAAAATATATATATTGTGTGTGTGTGTGTGTGTGTATGTGCGTGTGTGCTAACGCCTCATCGTAAGATTAAGCCAACATTGATGAGAGGTTGTAATAAGCAGGAGCAGCAGCTGTTGTTAGTGGGTCATCAATCTCAGGGCGGAGTAAGTGGTGCTTGAAGCTATTAAGAGATCGATCACTTATTACAACAACCCGTCACACCACAACCCCACGATGTATCCACCAGTCCCGCATGTAAACATATGATTTTCTGTTTACCTAACTACCCACAGGAGGCAGTTTGAGGGACTGATATATATATATATATATATATATATATATATATATATATATATATATATATATATATATATCGTACCTAGTAGCCAGAACGCACTTCTCAGCCTACTATGCATGGCCCGATTTGCCTAATAAGCCAAGTTTTCCTGAATTAATATATTTTCTCTAATTTTTTTCTTATGAAATGATAAAGCAACCCATTTCATTGTGTATGAGGTCAATTTTTTTTTATTGGAGTTAAAATTAACGTAGATATATGACCGAACCTAACCAACCCTTCCTAACCTAACCTAACCTATCTTTATAGGTTAGGTTAGGTTAGGTAGCCGAAAATGTTAGGTTAGGTAGATTAGATAGTCGAAAAAGCATTAGTTCATGAAAACTTGGCTTATTAGGCAAATCGGGCCTTGCATAGTAGGCTGAGAAGTGCGTTCTGGCTACTAGGTACGACATATATATATATATATATATATATATATATATATATATATATATATATATATATATATATATATAGGGCATTATGAAGGAACTACGGTCTCTGGGAAATGGCTCACTGCCGCGCATTTTGAGTCCTATTGAAGTCAGATCTGTGTTACATCAGTGTGTGTGTGTGTGTGTGTGTGTGTGTGTGTGTGTGTGTGTGTGTGTGTGTGTGTGTGTGTGTGTGTGTGTGTGTGTGTGTGTGAACATTTCTGTAACTTCGTGGTATCATTCGCTTGTATTAGTTCCACATTCAATTGTCTTCTCGTCTTCTTAATATTGTAATATAAATTATCTCTCTTGCCGCTCTAATGTTGAAACTTGATTTGTTTTTCCAATATATATCATATAGGGAGCCGGTCGGCCGAGCGGACAGCACACTGGACTAGTGATCCTGTGGTCCCGGGTTTGATCCCAGGCGCCGGCGAGAATCAATGGGCAGAGTTTCTTTCACCCTATGCTCCTGTTACCTAGCAGTAAAATAGGTACCTGGGTGTTAGTCAGCTGTCACGGGCTGCTTCCTGGGGGTGGAGGCTTGGTCGAGGACCGGGCCGCGGGGATACTAAAGCCCCGAAATCATCTCAAGATAACCACCTTGTAGATTGTAAGGTAAATAGTTCTCATTTTAGGGCTAGAATATAAAGGTTGACTTAGATTGGTGTACAAGTGGCTAGGTCAAAAAGGATTGTAATGATTGGTATAAGGTGGTACGATTAGTTTCCGATTCTGTTTGTGTAGTAGTAGTGTGAATGGGTTGGGTCAACCTGTCATATTACCAAGAACGTCGCTTATCGCACGTATGGGTTACACAAGGCCAAAAATTGTCGTACTTGAAAATGAAAGCGGCTGGCGAAAATTTACGTACTGTCCCGTTTTCTGTTTTGGGTCCTCTGGTAGATTTGGAGAGACCACTTTAAACTGACCGTTTTCATGACCTTTGAAAATCTTAGGAAGACGGGCTGGATGCAGACGAAATCAGGACTTGACACATGTTCTTGACAACTGACACCCATGACACGTGTCATAAATACACTTATGACAAGTGAATACACATACGAAAATCTACACATAAATACACATACGAAAATATACACATAAATACACATACGAAAATATACACAAATACACATACGAAATATACACCGTAGATCTGGTATACTCTAGTGAGTCCAGGACAGATGTTCACAGGAGTATATATATAGATATACATAGTATCTTGACCTCTCACAGCACCGCTCCTGTGCCAGGTAAGTCCACTACGGGCTCACCATAGCCCGTGCTACTTGGAACTTGTTCCGAGTAGCTGAATCTATAACAACAACAGTATCTTGACACCCTTGACCTCGCGTATATTGTGCTTCCTTTGGCATGTTTTCAGACCTGCTGCCCGTCGTGATTGGTCCCCAGGCATATATGCAACTGAAAACTCCACACCCCAGAAGTGACTCGAACCCATACCGCCATAATTACAGCTAGCAGCTTATATTGTTACTCTCAAGCAATCAGATAATCCGAGGATTTTTGTTTGAACATAATTAGGGGGTTAGGTCGGATTTGGTGGAGATGCCCGGGGGAGGGGGAGGGGGGATTGACTGGGGACGTTCCTCGCTAGTGATTACCGCTTCCACACGACTCTTAGCATATCCTCCACGACTGACGCACCCAGCTGTGTGCAGCGACACGCTTCGCTAATTACAAAGTCGAGACCTCGCTAAACTATGCCACTGATCTAAGCTATGTCTAAGATCTATGTCTAAGCTATGTCTAAGATCTACCCGGGAGCCGGTCGGCCGAGCGGACAGCACACTGGGCATGTGATCCTGTGGTCCCGGGTTTGATCCCGGGCGCCGGCGAGAAACAATGGGCAGAGTTTCTTTCACCCTATGCCCCTGTTACCTAGCAGTAAAATAGGTACCTGGGTGTTAGTCAGCTGTCACGGGCTGCTTCCTGGGGGTGGAGGCCTGGTTGAGGACCGGGCCGCGGGGACACTAAAGCCCCGAAATCATCTCAAGATAACCTCAAGATATGTCGTGTTACAGCTACGGGATCAGCGGCTGTTGATCAGCTTCACGGGAGTAATATTACGTCGACTTCACCTTAAACGACCAAGTAGAGTACGGAGTAAGCGGACAAGGGAGTGAACAACCTGCCCTTATTCTGATTTCAATGAACAAGCACTTCATTCTTATTGCTGATCTCGTGAATGTTTACGTAATGACTCTCCTCCCCCCCCCCCCTCCTCAACCACTTGGGCTGGACGGTAGAGCGACGGTCTCGCTTCATGCAGGTCATGGCGTTCAATCCCCGACCGTCCAAGTGATTGGGGCACCATTCCTTTCCCTCCGTCCCATCCCAAATCTTTATCCTGACCCCTTCCCAGTGCTATATAGTCGTAATGGCTTGGCGCTTTCCCCCTTGATAATTCCTTCCTTCCTTCCTACGTATAGACTGAATCTTGGCAAGTTCCATTGTGTCCGCCTTACAGTGAGGTGTTGACGGATCCTGATGCAGCTGACAGATTTTTTTTTTTATTATTATTATTTTCTACCACAGACGTGGCCAGACATTTACAATGCTAACCAGCATATATACATTTTCTTCTGTCCTCCATGGACAGGGTTAGAGAAGTGTTAAACATATAGTTCAGGGGTTTATTGAACACTCAACCACAGAAGGTGATTCGGTGCTTTTAAAATGCTAAGCTAACCTACATACGTAAATACATAGAAACACAGATTTACGTATGCCCTACATAAAGTGTTAGATGTGTCTTTTACATAGTGTCATTAATGTACATTCACAAAGGTGAAATGTAGCTGACAGTGGTGGTGATGATACCACGGGGTGAGGGACGCGCCCTTGCAAGGATCAACCCTTTCTTCCAGGTGTACCTGCACCAGCAGGGCATTTCCCTCCTAACAGGCAGAAAGGGAACTATCGGAATAAAGCGCCAAGCCATCAAGACTATATAGCACTGGGAAGGGGTCAGGATTTGGGATGGGGCGGAGGGAAAGGAATGGTGCCCAACCACTTGTGGACAGTCGGGGGATTGAACGCCGACCTGCATGAAGCGAGACCGTCGCTCTACCGTCCAGCCCAAGTGGTTGGTAAACAAGCACAAGAAGCAGCAGTTGCATGAGGTGAGCAACCATGAACCCCGCTATAGTGTACCGTCTCCTGCCCCGGGCCCCGGTATGGTGGAAGACGTTGGGCAACACCCAAGACGTTGGAAAGGCAGACAGATCCTAGGGAATTATTATCAGTAATATCTTCCCTTTCCTTTACCTTCTCCTGCCCCTTCCTGTCCCCCCCCCCCCCAACCTCCCTACCCACACCCTCCCCCTCTCCCCCCCCCCCTCTCTCCCCCATTACCTAGCTAAAGGTGTTGTGGGTGTTGGGTGGGGGTGTTCAGGACTAGCCAGGCACACCGGCGAACTCATCCCATTATCTCCCATTAGTCTACTATAGCAATGATCTTGACATGAACGATCACTGGCAATTAGCTCCCTTAGACGGCTTGCTAGTAATGGACCCGACATGAGCGGATTATCATGAGCCTCGTGTTAAATTCAGCGAATAATCCAATCAGTCGCCGTGAATTAACTCGCGGAACGTTTATCGTATCTTTTATAAAGTCAAAGTCGAGACCTAATAGCGGTGAAGGCTTCTGGTCAGATTCACGAAGTAGTTACGCAAGCACTTACGAACCTGTACATCTTTTCCCAATCTTTGGCGGCTTTGTTTACAATTATTAAACAGTTAATGAGCTCCGAAGCACCAGGAGGCTGTTTATAACAATAACAACAGTTGATTGGCAAGTTTTCATGCTTGTAAACTGTTTAATAAATGTAACCAAAGCCGTCAAAGATTGAGGAAAGATGTACAGGTTCGTAAGTACTTGCGTAACTGCTTCGTGAATCTGGCCCCTGGCAGGTTCGTAAGTACTTGCGTAACTGCTTCCTGAATCTGGCGCTTGGCAGGTTCATAAGTAC